ATTGTTAGTTTCTTTCACCAAGAAAGCAGGTGTTTAACAACCTGACGTCATTGGATTAAACGCTAATAAGATTAACATTTATATTGTTATTTAGTAATGTCATGCGCAGCTGTGATCAATCATAAGTGATAATAATTACTATATAGTCACTTTGATATCAATTACAAATTCTTCATACCACGACGGAGTGTCAACATGATCGCAATACTCTTGTTCTTGGCGTTCACCATCGTAGCAGGTAAACATTTACACATTTATATTTTGCAGTTTTGTAAAAAAAAACTCTTACTAAAGGTAGTCTCGAAATCAGATGGGTTTCTGAGGGAGAAGATGAACCTGATTCCTACTATATGTTTCTAATTTGTGAGTTAAATCAACTATCGTTCCGATTAGAAATGTCAAAGTTTCCGATCTGCCAGTTGTGAATCGCAATTACGCGGCTCGACTCGGAAAAGACGCAGTTTACGATCGGGAGAGGCAATCAAAATCAAGCTACTAGAGTCTACTTTTATAAACTCCACTCAATTTTGCACGATTCAATGGCCTATAATACTCACGAGTCCGTGTTAAGACGAGTAAAAGGAACCCGAGTCGAAAACTTAACTCAAGTTCTGAACAAAACTCGACTTGGAACGACATCTACTCTACAAAGTGTCTAGCGTGTCTACAACTAGGTACAACCCAAAAACCCAATATGATGATTTAATAATCTCAGTACAGCACTCAAAAATCATTCATCCCCTTGTTTGCCACCCTAATATATCTAATAAATGTAATAAAATCTTTACTTCCAATCCAGGTCTACCTGCGGACCATATACTAATCAGACCAGATCATGAACTCCGATACCAGCACGTCGAAGGTGGTGATGGACTGTACCTGGCAGACTTGTGGACGAAACTGAGCGACATCCAAGATGCCGCCAGATACAACCCTGACTCCCAGAATGTTTATCATCTTTTTACAAGGTTTTTGCACTCCCTTTATACTTAAGAGGAAGTAAGAGCTACACACGGCGAACGCGCAATTGCATCGATACAGTCGCTTATGTTGAATTGTTATGTACGAAAAATTTTGTATACGTTTATTGCACGTGGTTTTGTTTTTATTAATTGTAAATTTTCAAAAGTAAAATTATAAATACATTGAATAAATCAACTACTTAGTTAATTTAAAATGTGGATCGCTCCTGCATCGCGTTTGCATCGCTGCCAAGAGTCGCCGTGTGTAACCATTTAAGTTATTTTTTGTCACATTTAAAAGCTTGACTGTTGCCAACTATGTGCTTTGCAATCATCGTCTATATAACCAGAAAAAGAGACGAAATAAGGGCCATCCATCCCTGGCTCTCTCATGTCAACTTATCAGGCTAATGGGCCTTATGTCACTTTTAAATATCAACTCTCACGAACCGAAATCACAAATTAAAAAACTGAAATAGTACAGCGCCAACAACTGACCTGTGTATTACGCCTCCGTATATTCCAAAAATATTCTGTTTAATAATATCTCTAACAATGGGGGCTGTTCCATTCGGTGGTGTGGGAAAACAGTAAAGCATCTAATTACAAAACAAACGGCATTAAATATTAAATATGCAATTTTTCAATTTTCGATCATTATAGCAATGCTCAAGTTAAACTGGTCAATTTGAAGTGAAACAATCGACGACACCCGTCAATTCTTTCAAATTCGGGCTGGCCAATCGCAGCGCAGTTATCACCGTAATGATTTGGCAGAATAGTTTTCAAACAAATTAAATGGCATTTCGTCTCTATTTCTGGTTATATACTCGACGCCTGCAATTCATTCATGGTGTCAACTTTTACGTTTGGTCATTATAACTGAACAATGCGACCTGCGAAGTACATGATGCTGTAACTTATTTTTAAGGGTGATTTTGTTTTTCAATACCTGAAATACATGTTTATTTATTTTGCATTTAAAGTATCAAAACCACGCTAGAAGTAAATCCCCATTTCATCCCCCTTTAGAGGTGGTTTTGAAAAAATGTTATATAAAAACTTTGCCATTTACACAATACTTATAACATTTACACTACGTTTCATCTTTGTAAGTTCAAGGAATACGATTTTTCGTACAAACATTTTCACACAAAAGAATCATGCAATCTCGCGGCGTGAGACGAAACTTAACTTATATATATATAATGCTGTGATTTCATAATAATGAGGTTTGTTACACACACTAAAATACTTCCAATTAATATATATAATAAGAAAATACATTTAAATAACTAATATATCTACATCCGACGAGTACGCATTGAATTTGATAAACACGTATTAAAAAAATCACAATTTGGTTCAACAATGGTAGATCATGGCATTATACGAAAATCTCTTCTTGGTACACAATGGCTCTAATATGTTTAATAAAAGACCAAAGCTGTGATAACAATGTTAAGCTAGGTTCAAGCCGAATGATCATACAACTATGTGTGCGGCGGCACGAATTCACTGGTCACACTTGACGTACAAAAAGTGCCTGTTAAAAAATGGTTAAAAATCTAATAGCAAATAATTTTTATTTTATTTTTTTCGGAATAATGATTTACATTTAATATTTTAAGGTAATGCTAATTAGCGCCTAGTACAGTTGTCCACGTTTTCATTTTCAAATATCTAACTTATGATAAATGTAAGGTAAACGTTAACGCCTCAAAAAGAAAAGAAAAAAACAAATACGAAAGTACCTATGCTAATAAACATAGCAAAAAAGGTAAAGTGATATGAAGTGAGCAAACTTGACCTACAAAAAAGCGTGCATTAACAAAAATGTTAATAAATAAATAGACACGAAACAAGAAAAATCAATGATATTATATTTGAGAAAAGTAAACCAGTTCTGTAAGTGGTTCACCGCACTGTATTCAAATTTCAGTTAATTCAACATATTTTAATATGACTGTTTCCAATTTTCTTTCAAAAGTGTGCTCAGGTCCCACAGACGGATCCAGTCCATAATTTTTTTGATTAAAAGCAAGCATGATTCGCGTTAGGACACATGCCATACTTTGTAGAATGATTAAGAACAGAAAATAGTGCTGCCGTGTCAGACGTATCTCACGAAACCTAGTTTTGAGAAAAAAGAAATACGAGAAATGTCTCAAATCTCTGAAAAATATCAATTTTTTAATTTTTTTATTGATAACTCCGCCATACCTTAAGGTTCGTTTTCGTTTCCTCGGGGATGGTCACAACCGTGAACTAAGGTCTAAAATGGATAACCTACTGAAGCCTCCTTTCACTCGCTCTGGGTATTACAAAGATTCCTTTACGATTAAGGCTGCAAAATTGTGGAACGATCTCCCATTTGAAATCCGACATTCTAAGTCGCTACCTATTTTCAAAACCGGATTGCGTAAATATCTTTTATCACGGTCCTAGTCTGCAACGTGCGTAAATATCTTTAATCACTGTCCTAGTC